TTGGTTTCCAATCTGAAAGTTGGTTTAAATATTGTTTCTCATGCATGATAAAAAAGTGGTTCTGCAAGCAAAACTTTAAATCCTTGTTTACCTCTGTAATCCTATTGAATGCTAGCAGTGGTGTCCATATTTATCAAGGGCTCACTTAACCTGCGTTGTTACTTTAAACAATGGTGGTCGAGGGGGTGTCAGGTTGTTTTTGGGTTCCAGACTTGAATTCTCACTTTTTGTAAATGTAATTCAAGTAAACTAAACTTGGTCAAGTACCAGTAGATGTGGAGCCTGTCGATGGTGCCTCTAGTCAGGTTGTATTGTAGAACTATGAATTTAGGTCACTGCTAGTACTGATCTGACCTTACATATAGGTCTGGTTTAAATATCATTTGCATACGTCTGCTCATCTTTGCTTCCTCTGGGGGGGAAAAAATGAAGAATCTGATCTTCAGCTCAAAGTTTAGAAACTGGATTTCTTTTTATCTTTTATCTCCTTGAATGCAACAAAGTGCGCTCTCAGAAGGTTGGGTCAATAGCTATGCTGATACTCAAACAAATTCAGTAGTCTGAGTTGCATATTGTTGAGTAAAATTTTGAGTAGTGTCTGCATGGTCTTAAGCGTTTGGGTGTTTTGTTTGGGGTTTTTTTTCTTTTAAGACTTTTTTTCCATTCTGCCTTTCTTCCTCATTCAGTGTTGTCCAGGCCTTTCCCACACAACTTGCTCGATCAGTCCAAAGTCATTTATTAGCCTTTTCACCTTCAAGTGCATGCCGCTCGAGCAAGAGAATAATTAAAAGTATCCTGAATTAGTCTAGTAATTTTACCTGTCCTCTGGTTTATGGTAATAGTTTTTCGAGTCCTCTCATAGACATAGAACCTTGCCAAAATGTAGGAATTTTTGGTGTAAATGCCCGGATGCAGTCCAAGTGGCAACTTGTTCCACTGCTCAAACTGCTGCATTGGCATATCTGTGGAACTCGGGGGACAAATGTTGCTGTTACTGTATTCCCCCACTCTTGCCTGCTGCTGAATTAAAGGAGCAGCCTGTGGAGTCAAATTAGTTGGACAGCCCTGATTTCATAAATCCTACCTTGGCACCTGTACTAATTTTAGGAATAAGGATTTAAGATTTTAGTGTCAATGAGATATGAGGAAGCTTGCCTTGGTCTAGTCTACACTGGTTCCAAATAATTCTTTTGAGTTCCTCATTTTTATAAGCACTAAAATTTATTTCCAGAATGTACAATAAAAGGGCTAAGGTCACTTGTGAACTGTAGTTGCCAATATAGCAGATGTTCAGTGAATACTAGATATAATACACTTAATCTTTGCCAAAGCAGTGCCGTTAAAGTATCAGGTGTGGCACTTTGTTTTTTTTGAGCATCTTGCCTCTTACTGGAATTCTTCGTTGCTGTTCAAATTTATATAAATTAAAGAAACGAGACATGGCTAGGGTATGTGCAGATGAGGGTTTTTTTCCCCTCTTAAAAAGTCAAGGTAGTCTGGTTTTCAAATAACTTCCAGGTTTCCTTTAAACCAGTGTTTCTCAACTATTTTTGTGCCAGGACCCATTCGTAAGCATTAGTGGCCAGTCCTGACCCAGTGCCCCTTGCTCCTGACCCTCTGCCCCCAGGCCCCAGCCTCCCAGTATTTGGGAGGGGGGAAGCAGGGGACATGAGGGGCCCCAAGCAGCCCCTTGCAGGCTGGAACTCTGCCACAGTTCGCTGCATTTTTCTCCTTTTAAGGAGAAATTTTAAAATTTGTTGCACCAGACTAGCCCTTCATGCTACATCCAGGACTGGTTCAGATGAGGCCCATAGACTGGTGCTTTGTATGGGATGCAGTGCACAGGGTCAGTCTGGTTCTGGTACCATGTGCAGTGTGTGCTCCAGGCTGGTCATGTGTACTGTGTAGTGCAGGGGCAGGGCTGACATGCTGCATGTGGTACGCAGGGCTGGAGCTGGCATGTGCAGGCTGCAAGCAGCACATAGGACCAGTCTGGGGCACACGTTGCATACAGCACCCACACTAGCTGTGCCCTGTGCGCTGGCTCCAGCATGTGGAGCCAATCTGTGGGCCCAGTTCAGCCTGAAGACCAGCTGCATGTCCTTCATCTGGCCTACCCCTGCTTTAAATCAAGAGTATTAGAGGACCAAATTACCCTTTTGCCTGCTAGCCTTTAGATTGGAGGAAAGAGAGGCAGATATTGTAGTCTCATTATTTTGGAAACAGACTTTGCTGTACCAAGGTTTAAATATCACAACCGAAGACAACTGTAAAAAGTAAAGGTGTTAAGGAAACCTATTCCTCTGTACTTCCTTTTTTTGTTCTTCACCATTATTCCATTTTCCCTTAGTCCTCAGAGTTTTGTATTTGCGAACTACAAGGGCAGTAAGGCATGTGTGTGTTTTTCAGGGATCTGGTGGATCTGGCCAGAATATTGACAAATACCTGCTCTGAATTAAGGCTTTGTGGAACACCTTCTATTATTGCATATCACACCCCCTCCCACCTCCATCCCCCCAACAAGATGTGCACTTTTCTGTCCTCCCCCCCTCCCCACGTACACTTTCTGCCTTCCAGAAATAGATTTCTAGAGTCATGGCTGAGTGTATACATCAGTTGACTTGCCTTAAGCCCACTCAATTGTACCTTCAGGCACAAGCTACAGTGTTGATTTTCTCACAGCCCCTAAGGAATTGGTAGTAGCTTTTCGCTGCTCAGTCACTAGCTACTGTCAGTTCCTCAGCAGCTGTGAAAGGGTTGACATTGGACTCAGCCCCTTCTGTTTGCTGGGCCAGAGGGAAGTGGGAGCCATCTTGGTAGCCATTAGAACACAGTGTCTCTATGCTCCTCTTACAGTGAATCAAAAACAGTTTCCCTGTTTAAGATGCATAAGCCAGTTCTGGAGGGGAAAGATGTTTGTGGTATGTGAGTAAATGTAGCAGTTTCTTAGGAGAAAATTAAGTGCATCTGTGACCAATCTGATATGCTGTAGTTAGTTCATCTTTGTACAACCCATATTGGGCAACAGGGATTGAATTTTAATCATAGCTTTACTTGTAAGCACAAAAGCAATCCACAGTACGTCACTGATGATTTGTTTTTTTTAGTTTAAAATGATTTTAGCAAAAGTTTTAATGCTCAAGGAATAACTAAAGAATAATTACTTACTTCTTTGACAGAATGACAGTCCATATCAAGGTGGCGTGTTCTTTCTGACAATTCACTTTCCTACAGACTACCCTTTCAAACCACCTAAGGCAAGTTTCATTTTCACACTTGTACATCTAGTGCCCTTTAGTGAGCTGAACCCAGGGAGAGAAATTATAAGTGCATGAGTTCATATGTTAGCCCTGTTATATTTGTACCTTTGTCTTGAGTATATAATATCACTTCTGAGTGTGGGTATCTGTTGGTATGTTGCATAGGAAAAGTTTTACACACTTGCTGATGTATTTCATTCAAATTTGTCTTGGCTTAAAAAGAACCGTAAATTCTGAAATTATTTTAAAACAAGTACAGACATTATCAGTACCTATATATTTTAGGGCAGCTGCCTGTAACTGCACCTTTTAGAACTAAATATAGATAAGGTATTTTTGGAAGCATTTGATATATCCATGTATACCATCAAAACTTGTTACAACGTTTATGTTTCTTTAGTGTAGTTTATAAAAATGTTAATGACTTGGCAAATTCAGATGGACTTAGTTTGGTTTTTGAGTGTGGTAAAATAAAAGTCCAAAAGCAGTTTGAGTGGAAAATCACTTTCAGTTGACTATTTTTTATGAAATTAGAAAACAAACACCCTGTTAACTTAGCAAACTTGTTTTATAACAAAATGTAATATTTTCAGGTTATCTTTAACATCCCTGTTAGGTTTTGTAGCGAAAGTAATACTACAGACAGACTCTTCGTTGTGGCCAAACTTAACATTTTTGGCATTTGTTTGTTTTGGTAGCACTTAAAACCATATTTTCTAATACTGTAAATCATACAGTTCACCTTGTATAGCCAGATGATCAACAGAAGCTGGGAAACATGGAACAGTCTTTCAGTTTTGTGATAGCAGTGTTGTGTGATCCAGTGTAGTCTTACCATTTGTTACTTTCATTCCATGCCTAATTCTTAATGGACTTGTAACTTTATGAAATGTGCTCTAACCACTGTCAGTATTACATGGCATTGAAAGATTAGCCATTTAAAAGCTGGAAATTGGCCTTTTTAACATGTATTTCAAGATTTTTTTTTCCATGAACTGTAAAAACTATCCTCATATCTCATTCTTAATTATTCTTTAGAATAAATGTAATTGATTAGTAGTTTGATTTGCAATATCAGTTGCATGTTTTATATAAAATTCAAATACTTATCTAATTTTTTTTTTATAGGTTGCATTTACAACAAGAATCTATCACCCAAATATTAACAGTAATGGCAGCATTTGTCTTGATATTTTAAGATCACAATGGTCTCCTGCTTTAACTATTTCTAAAGGTAAAGTTTTCTTCAGAAAACCCTAATTTTATGTCTTCCTTCTTTGTGTTGATGCTGTTCTGCTTTTTTTTCTTTCCCTTTGGCTTTCCCTCTAGAATTACATTATTCTCTAGCCCAGTAATTCCAAAGGGTGTGCCTTAGCTTGTGTGCTGTGAGCTGCCCATGTGAGGACGTAAATGTTCTCCTCTTGTGTCTGGCATCCTATGTCTGCTCCAGTTACTCCAGCAGTGTCTGCAGTTTGCCCCTCTAAGGACTGCTGCTGCTTTCTCCACTGTTTCTTGCCTCCAGGCAGCCCCTTTGCTGCCCCCTCTTCCTCCTCCTTCCCCATGCCTCAGCAGTGTGGTCTGTGGTGTGTAGGCAGGTAGTTGCACAGATCCAGCTGTGCTGTCCAGCCCAACCTGTCCCCTCCAGTGCCATGATCATGGTGCCAGCAGGAGGGGTTGCATGGGTGGGTATGTGAGACACTTCAGGAGCAGCTTCAGCAGCAGGGGCTACCCTTGACCCTGAAGGTACATAATGTGCCATATTAGGTCAGACTCTAATGGTCTCTTTAGTCCAGTATTCTGTCTCCCAACAGTGGCAGAAGTACAGGGAGAGCATTGAGCCAGCTATGTTTAGAGTGATCTATCCCCTATTCAGTATCCTCCCTTGGCATCCAGCTGTTCTGTTCAATAGCCATTAATAGTTCTATCATCCATTAATTTATCCAGCCCCCTTTTTTGAACCTGGCTATGCTATTGGCCCCCACCATGTCTGTGGCAGTGAATTCTACAAGTTAACTACATGTTGCATAAAAAAGTCCTTTGTCTTGTTAATTTTAAACTTGTTGCCTACTAATTTCAGCAGTTCTAATATTCTGGGACTTGGTGAACAACAGTTCCCTGTTCACTTGGCCCATGCTCTTCGTGGTTTTATGTATCTCATCATGTCGCCCCTCAGCCTTCTCGTTTCTACATTGAAGAGTCAAGAGGGGGTAGATATTGGAAAGAGCAGGGCACAGCAGGGTGAGATCCTGCCCATGCTGCCTTTAAGTGACCCCAACTAAATAGGTGATTCTCAACTTTTTTTTAGCCTCAATGCACCACAGACTTGGGGAATACTGCTTGATTCTGAGTAGAAAAGGATAATTATTAGTGTTGCATCCTTATGCTGTTGTCTTTTGTTAAAAAAAAATAAAAAATCATGCAGCTTAGTTTAGCTATTACTAAGGACTGGCTTTCCTATCTGTCTGAATCTGCAAGATTGAATTCATATAAACAATTATATTGGCTTAAAAGTGGCGTATTTCATTTCAGTTTAACTCCTTTGTTTGATTTTAAAGTAAACTGAAATGTGTGGTTTAAATTAAAATAAGGTTATCTAAACAGATTTTGTGTTGGTTTTCAAGTTGGGTTAAAATAGTTCCTGAAGTTAAACTCACTTATCCAAAAGGTGCAAACCAAGTTTAGTACCCATAGTAGGGTCCATCATGTCACAGCATATTGCACTGGTTGCGAAAGTAAAGAATAAAATTAATATTGTTGCTTGCAGCTATTTTTTCTGTGACGGTCTCAATTGAATGTTTTATTTTATCAGCATATATTTAGCTTGAACAGGACAGACTAGTATATTACTAACGTAGTGCAAAGAAGAAATCAGTCTGATTCTAATCCTTTTTTGTGATCACTTAAATTTATTTAGGACTTGGCACACAAGCCACTCTCAGTGAAACTAGGGTGTGAATTCACAGTATTTTGATTGCTCTGTGGTAACAACTTGTGTGCACTTTCACTTCATGGTAAACCTTGTTGCCTTTCTCACGTATATGCTGTTTTGTACACATAGACAATAGAGGAAGTTGCAGGAGTTGAAAAGCTTAGAGAACAAGGTTGTTTTTCTGGTTACCTCTGATAATTTCAATAATCTCTAAAGAGGTAGGTCAGTGATTTTTGCATTTAGGTGGGCTCCAAAATTTCCCTCGACTGAATTGATCTGTCATAAGCTTGTTCTGAGAAAGCAAATAATGGCATTTCTACTGTGGTTAAGATCTTTGATTTCACTGTCAACATTTTTTTCACAGTTCTCTTATCCATTTGTTCACTGTTATGTGATCCAAATCCAGATGACCCTCTAGTGCCAGAGATTGCACGTATCTATAAAACAGACAGAGACAAGTAAGTACAGAACTATGTAAGGGTAATATACTAACAAAGTTTGCAAGGAACATTCTGCTCTGGTATAAAGCAAAGGGTGGGGAGGAATAGGTCACTTGTGATTAGTCTGGGACGGAGAGAATTTGTGCTTTAGACTAGGTAGTTATTTTTGGCAAAGGAAATGATACAATTATAATACAAAGATGTCACATTTTATCTGAAGTTGCAGTGGAGGGGTTACATGGTCATGGCAATGATAAGTATTTGAAAGTTTGCACTGTCTAATTATTGGCTTACTATATTTAAATAGGAGGTATCAGTCATAACACTTCTGGCTTTGAGGAAAGATTAATCTGGTAAATAAATACTATAGTGAAAGGATCAGGAAACCCTGGCACTCATGCTGTCGTGTGGCATGTGAAGCCATTTTGCTCAGTATGCCACAGCTGACCTGGGTTCTGGGCAGACTGCTGGCCATGGAGCCTGGGCTGCTCGCAGCAGGTGCTGATGATGTGCACGCACATCTCAAGGTGGAGAAGGGGTCAGGGCTGCGCTGCCACAAGGATCAGACACCTCACGGCTCCCTCACCATCCACTCCTGGCACACTAACACTTCATAAGCTGAGATTGCAGGGTTTTTTGGCACTTGGCCCAAAAATGTTGCTGACCCTCTGCTTGTTTTTTCTGTTTTGAAGCTCCCTGTTGGGTAACGGTTTTATAATCTTGCTTTCTTTTAAAATTAGGTTATAAGTTTTGCACAGGTAGAATTCAGTGAAGTAGCCATTGAAGTCTGTGTATATTAATGCTGAATATACTTGTCCAAATAGGTACAATAGGTTAGCAAGAGAGTGGACAGAGAAATACGCTATGCTGTAGGGTAAGGATATCTGCACTTAATGGTGCGTTTAACAAAATGGGGACTGTCAGCACTTGAGTGCTGCATGCTTCAAGGCACCGGATTAACTAACAGATAATGGATGCACCAAGTTACTCAACCTGAATATTTAACAGCTTGATCTGTGATTAGTGTGAAATGTATTGGCTAGTCACTGTTTCTCACATAGATAATGCTCTTGCATGGCAAAAAAAACAGGTGATGGTAAGAAACAGTTGTCTAGGTTCAACTTGTTTATCTTGAGTCCTGGTAAGTATTTAGACAAACTTCATAGACTGTTAAAAGCAGTGAAGTGGAAAAGTCAACTACCTGTACGTAAATAAATCTAGGCAATCCAAACTTAAAACTTTGTATACAAGCAAAAATTAGCTTTACTCTAAATTATGAAAAGTACTGTTTTAGATCTTGCTTGTATATTTGGAAATTAACTTGCTACTGACAAGCATGCAGATAAGCATAAACTAATTGTATTAGTTCAATTCCTGTGGACTAGTGTGTACAGAAAGTTCATGTCGTATTATTACTCCGCAAATGCTAGAATTCATTGTAATAGTGCTTCAATTAAAGTTTCTGTCTGGGGAGGGGAAAAGGATGGTTGGTTGAAGAGAAATTGTTTGGTATTCAGAAGTGCTTACCCCTGAAAAGTAGCTTCATAGCATCTTGCATCATTCTCTGACCAAAATAGGATATTTGATAACTGTAAAAAATACACCAATAATATAATTAGCTACAGAATGTACTTATAGGATGCCTTATTCTACAGATTTTACCTTAAAACTAGGGTAAAAACAACTTGGTGTCATGTTATGGGAAAGCAAACTTCTAAATTTCCTGCATCCCCCTTCTGAAATTGTGATCCTCTGTTTCCTAATACATGCTTCTAGCAAATTCTCCTGATTTGAGCTGAAGAGTAAGTCTCAATGGAGTCCTGTTTTACTGAAAATATCCAAGTAAGATTTGTTTTCCTTACTTTAGTAAGAGTGCACAAAGCATAGAAAGAGTCTTGGACAAAAGGTGTGGAGAAATCAATTGAAATGTCAATGGTGAATATCTTCAGGTAGGCAATTGCTATCCTTATGGCTTTAACTGTCCCTAATGTGTTCTTCCTTTATTCACAGGTACAACAGAATATCTCGGGAATGGACTCAGAAGTATGCCATGTGATGCTACCTTAAAGTCAGAATAACCTGCATTATAGCTGGAATAAACTTTAAATTACTGTTCCTTTTTTGATTTTTCTTATCCGGCTGCTCCCCTATCAGACCTCATCTTTATTTTATTTTATTTTTTTAACTTTTTGTTTACCTCCTTCCATTCATGCACATGCTCATCTGAGAAGACTTTTAGTTCTTCCAGCTTTGGACAATAACTGCTTTTAGAATCTGTAAAGTAGTTACACAAGAACAGTTGCCCAAGATTCAGAATTTTTTAAAATGGAGCATGTGTACTATGTGGCCAATGTCTTCATTCTAACTTGGTTATGAGAGTAAATCCATTCCTCACTGCTCTAACAGATACTGAAGATACCATCAAGGGGGCGGGGGGAAAGATGGATGTTAAAATTTTCTAATATCAAAGGAAGTAACATTGCTGTAGCAACATCCATCTTATTTAAAACCTTCCAGTGTTAGAGATTTGAGGTTTTATTATATAGTTATGCTCATAACTGATGTGACTGGAGAATTGGTACAGAATCTATAGCATCAGCAGAACAGAAAATGTGATGTATCTTATGCATGTCAATAAAGGAATGACCAGTTCTTGTTCTACAGAGAATGGAAATTGGAAGTCAAACATCAATTGTATTCCAAAATAGGGTCTAAAAACATTTTTGTAATTCATTTAAATTTTGTTAGGAGTCTTGGAGCTATTAGTTAATCTATCTTCCAACACACTGTTTAATATAGCACTGAATAAATGATGCAAGTTGTCAATGGATGAGTGATCAACTAATAGCTCTGCTAGTAATTGATTTATTTTCTTCAATAAAGTTGCATAAACCAATGAGTAAGCTGCCTGGATTAATCAATATGGGAAACAAAATCTTTTGTAAAAGCAAAGCTGGTTTTTGTATATACTGTTGGGATTTGCCTCGTTGTTTAACATCAAATAATGATGTAAAGTTGGATAGAGTGAATCTTTGCCATTTTCAGTTATAATAATCTGTGGCAGGCTGACACATTGATCAGCCTGTTGTATGCAGAATTAATATAAGCTAACGTAGTAGTGTGGCTGTAGTGTGCTACACTTGGGAGCCCAGAGTTCAAAGATGGACTTGGGACCCAGCAGATCTGAAGTGGTGTATTGTGGAGGCATTTCCAGATGCACCCCTGTTTGCTGACTGAGAAGCTTTTTCTTCATCTTGTACACTTGACAGCTGAAAGATCTTAATGTGGGAATAAAAATGGGGCAAAAATACAAAATAAAGTACTGTTTTGATGTGGGAATTGTCAGAGGCTGTGTTGAAGTGACTTTACTATGTTGGATGTTCGTTATCCATTGAAAAGGTCTTGTTCAGCCATGCTGCCATTTACATTAATGACAATTTTAATGCAAAAGACACTTTCCTCATTTCAGGTGACTAAACGTGAATGAATAAAGAGTCATTGCTATTGGATTTTTGTTTGACAAGAAACATTGTCTTGTGCCATTAGTTTCTCTTGCCTTTTTGGCATCGAGGGCATTATAAGTCATCCTGCTCTCTTCGTTCCTGCCCTTTTCCTCCATGCTTTCTTTGTTTGTTTTGTTTGGTTTTTTGTATCCATTCTTTTTTTACTATCTATAATCTCACTTTCTCTAGTCCTGTATTATGAGTTTGTTGTGCATCTGTGACTTCTCTCTGGCACCACTTTTTGCACTGCTTATAGTTATGTGCATTCTGATTCCTTGTCTCCACATAAATGTGGAAAGCTAGATGTAAAATAAATGTTAAACCTTAATTTTTATAAAAATTTAAATATGTAGTTTTGGGTATGGTTTGTTCTGATTTCCACTTACATAATTTAAAAATAATGATTTAAAAATATCCTAAAATCTAGTTTGCCCTATTTCAAAAAAGTATATATAAACAAAAGTCATTCTTGATTGAACATGCTTTGCTGTAGGAGCCCAATTAGATTTCTGAAGTTCCAAGTTTTGCAGTTTTTACTGATTCACTAACACAGGATTTTTGAGGATTCTCTCCAATCTTTATAGGGTGAATCTATACCAGAACTGGGTGTACTCTTATAATTTATGAAAAAGTGATTTTGCATTAGAATGTTCACTTAACTTTAAGATATAGGGTAAGATAATGTACTTGACATAATGTTTGTCAGTGGTCACCTGTGTTCAAGTGGTCACTTTAACATGCTGGCCCATCTCTGGCCACCATTTAAAACTGTTAACATTAGTTTAACAGTTCAAGTTCATACGAAGAAATATTGCCTAATTATAGCTCGGTGTGGAAGGGAGTGGGAAGACAGAGTGGTCCACATCAAGCTGTTGTTTGGGAGTTTGAAGTTAATCTCTTGACCACTACTATTCCTGGTGTGTGGTATTCTTCAAACAGAAGTTATGGGATTGATGCAGGAATTCCAGATGTATGGCTTATGATAGTATACAAGATCAGAACTTTGATATTTTTTAGCCTTTTGGGGTATAACGAAGTTCTTGGTCTAGGAGGTGGCAAGAACTAACTTCATGTAGTAATCTGGTTGGAAGACTCTGACCAGAACTTGTTAGACAGATCCAGTATCTGATTTGGAGACGCTGAGGTGAGAAGGGACTGAAATACTTTGCAAGAAAAAAAATAAGTAGGCCCTGAATCTGTCTCCATAAGCAACAAAGAGCTATTGGTGGAAGCCATGTTAGTTGCGTTGTAGAGAAGAAACACTGTGCCAAATGAAACAAAAAAATGCTGGTCAGAAATTTTCTGTTGAGACACTTTTCTTCCAACAATGCCAGCTTGTCAGTGTCCCATGAAAGCATCAGTTTTGATAACTTCTGATGAGAGTCATTGCCTGCTACAGAGCTGAGACTTTGAGAGCATACTTATTTCATAAACCAGCAGGCAAGTTTTGGTGCTCAAAAACAAAATGTTATAGAATATCATGTCAGCAAAAAGTTAGGGTTTGTTGTTTTTTGTTTCTGGGTTTTTTTTTACTGTGACTTATTTGCCGTGATTCAGTATGAAACCTTTTCCCAAAGCTTTATTTTTTTCACAAGATGAAATTGTTGCCTGGCTAGTTCTATTTGAGGCTAATGTCAAGATTATGCATTCAAGAATGGAATTGGTCCCTGCATCCTGAAGTTAAATTAAGACCATTTCTAAAAATACAGTTGCATATTAATCTTACCTTCTCACGGCTTCATAAAAATAAAACACAAAAAAGGAGTTCATGAATTGTCTGGAAAAATCCACATACCATAATTAGGGAAAAAGGTGATACCTCCCAATATTAGCTTTAATTCCATGTTGTAATTATTTGCATAGGTATAAATAAATTTGATCCAAAATCCATTGAAATCAACATGTACTTAAGTGAGTTTTGGACTAAATCCTTGCAGTAGTTGGTTAGCTGTCTTGAATTTTATTTACTGCAATAGCATGTTATACAATAGTTTGTTATTTTAAAATATAATAAATGCTGTATTTCTTCAAATATAAGATGACCTTGAATAAAAGGTACACCCATAATTCAAAGAAGAAAGAAAAATAAATGCACATTTACAAGGACATAATCTCTGTACATAAGACCTTTTTGGGTTTGTTTTAACAAAATGCCAGGTTAGTTTTTTTTTTTTTAAAGAATATTTAACATTGAATGAATGCAGCAGATATTTAATGAGATATAAAAGACATTATTGGAGATGCAAAAAGAATGTGTTGAGTAGGCACTAAGATTTATGTTTAAGCTTGGGAAATAAATTAAAAAAACAGATTAGAAGAATAGTTTCCACATTTAGGCACTAGACACTTGGAGATACTGAATTTCCTTTCCCAGACAAACTAGAACATTTTCTTTATTATAGAAAATAAATGTTTAGTTCTCTTTTTCTGTAGGTACTGTAAATTTTTTCTTTTTAAATATAGAAACTTTATATTCAAATTTTCTATTTCTGGGGAGAAGTTGGACTAAGTTTTAGCTAATGGCTAAGGACAGTTAGCTAGACAGTTTTCCTGTCCCTGGATGTTGAAGCTCTACCCATTAGATATTTAATCATGGGTTTTCTATGCAAGAAATCAGTCTTCCTAAAAAAACTAGTTGGGATATCCAAAGCCAGAGATCTACATATCCTTATGTTACCCTCTTTGCTTTTTTTACTCAGTTGGCAACACTAGCAATTTTATTAATTACCGTATGTCCCATCTGGTGTTGGGAAAAAAATCAATGATTCTAATAGTTGCATTCATTAGTTGTGGTAAGTGGATCAAACAAAAACTATCTGTAGGTCTGCTGTTGTAATAGACTGCTAAGAGACTGATGGCTTGAGATGAAATCAAGATCCCCTTTAGGTATTTAATAAGGAAATTTTATTTGTATTCCTGCTTTGATTATATCTGAATTGTATATAAACTGCTCAAAGTGATACTAATATATCACATTAAAAAGGACTAAAACAGAATGGATCAGAAGTTTGCTGAGGTGAATCTGAAGGTAAAATCTTTATCGCTAACATTCTATTAAAAACTCCTTTTATAAGAGTATGAAAGATGGTAGTGACGAGAGAGTTCATCAAACAGCTGATGGTTTATTGCAGTGTTCTACTATCGTTTTATCAAACCAGAATAATTTTTATTTGAAGACCAACAATTATATATTGGAGAGAATTCTGGTTTATTAATGTGGTAAATTTGTTGGTGTGTGATGTTTACAAGCTGTTTTTAGAGTTTTGACACCCAGTGTTCTTAACCAGGCTTTTGTTGTATACCTTCCTGCATTAACAATAATTTCTTTACTGTCTTAGACAACCTGTCTTCCAACTTGAATGTGCTATACACGCCTGTACATTGGTTTTCATGCCTCTCACCCACCCCCATATACTTCTGCACAAATCATTTAAGACTAATCTGTTGCAGGTCTTTACTTTCAAACATCCCTACTTGCCTGTTTTGTTCTTGTATTTCCTGGATTGATAGGGCAACTGCTAGAGTCCAGCATTCTCTCCTAAATAAAGGGGAATGACATCATTCCTCAGTGATTGTGGGATGCTCTGATCTGTTTCTTATTCAATGCTCCAGTGAGTACTGGCCATTGTGATTTTGAAACAAAGAAACCAGTTTCTTTCTGCCAATATGCATGTTTTTCAGAACAACAGTTTGTTTTTATTCAGTCTTTACTTGGCTATGAGACTTGGAGCAGTTTTACTAGCTCACCTTTGGGCGAAGGTGTTTGGCTATTCTTAAATGTGAGCTAATTTTTCTTCAGAGCTGTGAATGAGAGTATATGCACGCTATAAATATAACTAGAACCCTGGGTGTTGTGAATCCAGTATTCTAATTCCTGCCTTCAGCCTCTTTCAGCTGGGAAATAAAGTATATACAATGCTGCAGTGATGTAGTATGCAACTTTTAGTAAGGTTAGAAGTACAAAACTTGTACAGCATTGTTGACTGAGTGGACAAGTATCTGTTCGCTCTTCTAACCGATTTAGAGGCAGGGAGATGGACTGCAGTCTAACTCTGGCCCCCCCATACTACTTGATCCTTCTGGAGCTTTGGGAAAAGAACTCAGATCATAGCTTTATATGGGATGGGATCCTGCCTTTCCTCTTAGAGGTTTTGTTCTCCTTTGGGCTTTCTGTTGAACGTGAGCTTTAACGAAAGAGAATACTGGACATTAACAGAGTGGGCCTGTTCCAGCTAAAGGTACTGCTTACTTCTCGTAATGATATGAATCTTAACAGGCTGTGTTCTGAACTTAGAGAATGTTGATAGATTGGTCCAAATGCATAGGGGGTGTACTAACATTCCACTCCAGGGTGTCTGACACAAGAATCCCAGGTTTTTCTTGAAACCATACTTATACTTCCTTTGGTAACAGACACCTCAGTGCTTCCGTCTTGCATTGTTTTTTGTTGCTGATCCAAATAGAAGTTCCTATAGCCACATACAGCAGCAAATGCAACTCATGACTGACTTCTGAGCTGTATGACTAGGGTGAAAGCCCAACTTCTGGCTCTGTTCAAGTCTTTTATGCTTCTAAGTGGTTGCTGCAGGATGCTATATCCACCCCAAGGGTCCACAGCTTCCTATGTGTTCTATTACGTCTTTCCTTTCACAGGTGTATAGAGATAAATAGCAAAGATAGGCCATCAATGTAGTGAATTAATTTTTCTCCAGAGAAGGTTTTTGCTTCCTTAATTAAAAGATTTTCCTCAGACCCCATTTTTAACTTTGCTCTGATAACTAAGTGTAGGTACATTGGAATACAAAGATACTTTTAGCTGAGGAGATCCTGTTAAGAAGTGTG